ATTAATAACTCGGGGTTCTGAGAAGCTAGACAGCTGGAATCTTAGGGAGGTGTTCCTTGTCTAAGTGGGTATTAATGAGTTCAAGCCCTGCCCGCGAGTAAGCGTGGCACCTGCGTGCAGGCCCGTGAAAAAGTTCCTTTCCGGGTAAGTTATTACTCGAGAACGTGAGAAGCTAGAAGATTGGGAATTTTGAGGGGATTTTTCCTGACAGTTCTGGCGGCCAGTCTGAAATTCAGCTAGAAGCATCTGCCGAAAAACCGTTACCGGTAGCGACAAAAACCTGCGGAGAACTCTGCAAAAAACGCATCTTCGCACGGGCAGCCCGTGCGTTGGCCATTTTTTTGAACATAATGTGGGTCTGTCTGGCTGATATTAATGATTTTTTGGCTAAATTCAGCTCACATAAATAAAAGCCTGCATTTTGTTTGATAATACGCCTTAGCTTAAGTCAAATTTTATGCTTTTAGCTAGTTTTTAAATTTTTTCACACCACTAACAACTTTTGTATTAGCTGTTGCAAAGTACGTCACGCACAGCTACTGCCCAGAATCTTATCTCTGGAGTCAGTGGCAGGCCCAGAACTGGGCTTCACGGAATGCGAAATTAAACTCAGTAAGACGTGGAATTAAAAACTAATTTGCAAGTTGCTAACAATCGATTCTTAAGTATCAGGACAGACTAAACTGGTGAAATTACTGAAAAATGATGACCATTTTGCAAAACGTATAAAAAAGAACTGAAGGAGGAGAAGAGCGGTGGACCAGAAAATAGGAAACCCGATGAAAGCTCTGGGCTAAATCTGCAGATGTTTTCATATAGCGAATACTGAAAGCAGGTTCGGCTGTACCGCGGTTATTTCTTACGGGTCCAGGAAGGGAAGACTGGGACAAACATGAATGCAGATGGAAGGTTTAGAAAGGTAAGCAAATGAAACTCACTCACTAATACGTGAAATCGATAATAAAACTATAAAATAAATTTTAAAACTATAATTTAAAAGATGAAGGAGCACAAACTTGGAAGCAGCTTGGCAGACTTTTAGGATTTAGACCCATATCCAATGCAACCATTTGAGCAAATTCCTGTGAAACTTTGCCCACACCATCCGAAAAAATATAAGCCTCGCCCTCGCCATCTTGTCCACCGATAATATCATATGTTACGGCACATTTATTCTCTTCCAGCAGCACCGCACACTTCTGAAAACTTTGAATCTGAAGGAGTCTGACTTTTTTGTCCCGACCCACATTAGTTTTCGATAATTGGCCAACGCACGACGACGAGAATATTTTGAACACTCAGTGGCTTACTAATTAAAAAAATTGGCCAACGCACGGGCTGCCAGTGCGGAGATGCTTTTGCATGGTTCCCCGCAGTTTTTGTTGCTACCGGCACCGGTTTTTTCGGCAAGTGCTTCTAGCTGAACAAATTAAGG